CATTTCTATTCACGCTGCTTTTCTCATACAGTGGAGACAAAGTGTGGGTCAGACCCCCCCTTGACACCTTGGCTCTGTCTCCACAGATCCACTTCAGTGCAATTTGACTAACATCTTAACCTACTTAGTGCAATTAGTGCTTCATTAGAGGGGCTAACTGGCTATTGCTTCACTCTACAATGATTTGCAAGGGCGTACATAAAGTACATAATCAATGGTTTCCAATTACTACCCTAGTGCAACCACTAACTCAGATAAACTGGGTAGTAATAACAGGCCATTACAGACTCGACGGTAGCAGAAGGATCTAATTGCGAAGCTCTTCTTCTCAGCTTCAGGATTTTTCACACTAATGAAGTGTCATACAGAAAAAAAAAGCTGTATTGATTTTTTTTTACCACAAAGCTTCCACCACAAATATGTAATTATCCTTTTTATATCTGGCAGGGGGATTAAAATAATCTATAGCATCTCTTCGTTGTGCTTCTCTGACAGCGCCGTGTGGGACTTTTACCCTTTTCAAAATATGTAGCTTTTCTGATGAATGAACTTTCGGTGAAACATCGGCGCGTCCGATGACGTCCGAGCTTAAGAGCGGCATCAGAGGGTATATAGTTGCCTTAAGGGTGAGCCAGAAGAGGGGTGGGTGGGGGTGCAGCATTCCTGAGACCGCCGTGGGGGGCGACATAGGCTACTCACACACTCAGCCCCCTCTCAGCCTACAGAGGAAGCCTGGACCCCAGGTAGAAAATCACGCTCCCGTCGGGCAGGATAACTGACACCACACTCTGCTACGTCAGTCCCCCCGGAGAGTTTTAGAGCAAAAATGTTAATCGTCAGACGGAGTTAACAGCACAAGAGATTTAAAACCTGAATAATTAATATCCCAGAAACTGCTATGCAGTAGCAGTGACAACAATTATACACCTGCTGAGTGTTATTCAGTTAAGAAGATACTCTCCGAACTTACAACGTGTAGCAAGCGAACTGCGACTGACAGCCTGATTAAGGTAGCGTACCAGGATCCGGTGTAACCTCCGATCAGTGCCAGTGGCTAGCTGGGGCTGTGCCATCAATATGCCAAAGCTGCCTCTCCGTCTTTCGTAAGGGGGATACGAGGAGGGGATAGGGAGCTAATTGTTAGCGAACATTTTTTATAACGGCAAAAAAAAAACCTTTAAAAGCTTAGAGTCATTCCAGGCGCCCTATCCATACCGAGGAGAGGGCCCATGAACCGTGAACGCATGGCTGCCTGGCGCGTTTCCTGCTTTAACAGGCCCCAAACCTACCCCCCTCACGCACCCCCCACCGGCACAACTTTTGGGCCTGACACCCCCTCCCCACCACCACCCCCCCCGAGCCGCCGAGTCGGAGATGGACGAGCGAGCTTAAATCTGGCCCACGCTGAGCTGCCCTTCAAGATAATAAAAAGCCATTACCTTGACCGCTGACACGAGGCCCAGTGTGAGGGTCAGAGTGATATTTATTGATGAAACCCTGAGCTCCCAATCTGCTGCACTCAGTGCGCATCATACAGCTGTCAGCGCCGACAGGGATCACAGCGGATGACGGGCCCGCGACACGCACATCTATAATTTATGAACCGGCTCCGGAAAGGAAGGAGGGGAAGAAAAAAAAAATACAAGCGCGGGACAACAGCGCAGCCCGGACGGCGGACGGATAATCTTCCGCTGGAGCTGAGGAGGTGTCGCGGGGGCCGGGGGGGGGTCAGAGGGGTGTAGGCGACGGGGCGGATGCGGGGTGCACGGGAAGCACAATGGCACCTCTTAAATATTCACAAGAGTCTGGGCGGGAGTCGTCTCCCAGCGGGCCGGCGTCTGAATAATGTAGGAGGCCGGCGTTTACAGCGGGGATGTAAGCGGACGCGCGGCTGCCTCGCACGGCATATCACACTTCAGTCAAGCTGTTTAAATGGGACCGGAGGCCCAGGCACAAAAATGTAAATAGTCGGCCTTTGTTGCTGTACACAGGGCCTTAGCTCTTGCCCGAGGCTGTACAGGCTTCGGCGTTTGTGTCGAGTCTGTCAGCGGCTCTTCTGGCCCGCGTCTCGGATTTGAGTTTTACCGGCGTCCGCCGGCTCGCGCGCCACTAACAGCTTCTCAGGCGTAAGCGGGGCCCTGTTTTGCTGTCTAATCGTGCGTCTTTCTAAGGATTACATAATCCGACTCGTCAGGAAAGAGCAAAAAAAACGCAGTTTGAGCGAAGGATCCAAAGCATGGCTAACGCCTAGGGGGATGCCTTTGCCGAACCTCCCCGAAATACTTCAAAACACGCGTCCTCGACTCCTATGAATCCGTTTGCAATGGAGGACTAGCACCACTTCCCACACAGGGTGAACGGAGGCCTCTGATCAATATATAACCACATAATCGTATACCAGCTGCATTCAGAATGAACCCTTCATCTTCCAGGCATTGGTAAACAGCACAAACTCCTGCTTGACATTCCGGAATTGACATTTGGAATTTCTGCGGAATTCTAGAACTCTCCGCTCGCCAGTTTATGGCCTCGCTCGCCTTTAAAAACGTGGGAATCATCAGCCATGAATAAATTATTCCGGTCTTTTCCATAGTCATTACAAGTTTATTTTGATCTTGCATCATAATTCACGGCTTGGCATGTAATATATTTCCCCAAAATGCATTGTAATTCCTTACTGCAGTGCAAAGTTACGATTCATTTATACTGGACTGACAGCATAATGCAGAGATGTCAAAATCCATTAAAACTGTTCAATGTCTGGGGTTTATTTTTAGATCCAATTGAAATTTAACTGATGGTGAAAAATACACAGTCAAGTGTGTTTACTTCACCTTTAGGAAGAATGTGATATAGTCCCAATTAATTTGTTATTCCTGTCACTATCCGCATTGTCTGCCTCAAAACTGTCATGACTCTGTGCTTTGTTTTCAGAAGAGGAGCATTTAATTCGGCCGTAACCCTTTCAAAACTAAAATCGTTTAGAGGTGTGTGTTACACTTCGAAATGCTGCAGATAATTCCATGCAGATGAAATTGCTTATGGCCGAGACGGATGACAAACATGTTTCCTCCCACGACACTTTGACAGCTGATTATAAACTTGAGAAAAAAAGGACACGAAATGATCAGCTGAGTGTCCTGCAATTACCTTTTAACCCTTAATGGGACTAAAGTGAATTAATTGTGCCGTTATGAAGGGCATCGTCTCATGCCTCAGGGTTTTACCTATTGTTTATTATATGTCCTAAGTAAATTCAGAATATAAGTACAATACTTTAGAAACTCATGATGTAACATTCAAAACTACTAGTCTTAAAACAGTTTCTTGAAATCAAAGAAATGGTGAAGCAAACTGCATTGCATTCTGTTGTATTCAGTTTTTTTTAATAAATACAAATAAAAAAACAATGTGGCAGAAATACATATCTAGAGAGGAGTAGAAGCAGCTGAAGATACATATAATAAAAAAAGCACAGTCTTGCTTTTGGATGCAAACACAAGGACGCGAATGACTGTGTTGCGGTATCGCGTCAACAGCGTTGCCTTTGAATGGCAAAAAAATAATCCTGCTAGTCCTCCAGATTTTGATTTACCATCAGCCGTGACATGTGAGGTGGATTCAATAATTAATTAGAGCAAGAACAGAACATATTTGAAAGGCTACACTTCATCTACTGCAAAAAAAAACAAAAAAAAAATGCATAGCTGAGTCTCTGTGGAAAAATGTTTGAATAGTATATGTTACTGCAATCTCTGCTTAGGAAGGGTTCCAGCCGTGGTTTGTGTGTTTAGCCACATGTACTAGCTCTGAGAATTTCATCATGTGTTTTTTAACAATCTGTTAATTACACTCATCATTGAGTTATTTAGGCATAAATCACAGGAAAGTTCCCCTTCAATCCAATATTTCAGGAAATATTATTCAGATCGCAGGAATAATTAAAAACTTAGCCAACATGCTAAGTATACACAAATGTAAATTAATCTAGCAGTTTGATAAAACATTAAACTATAGGAGGGTATATGAGGGTGAGGGAGATTGCAAAAGTGGGTGAATCGAGTTATTTTCACACAGATCAGTTATATGACAGAGCAAGACAGAGCAAAAATGTGAAACTAATTCTCACAATAATGAGCCAAAATCTTATACCCTACACTTCTCAAGTCAGTAGGAGAGACTGTGGAATAAAAAAAAGAATCCCCTTAAACTACAAGGTTTTTTTGGTGTGCAGTTATGGTCCATCGTTATTAAATGTCTCATGTTGGACAGGAGAGGGGCTTTATCAAAACCAGCTATTCATCAGCGGCTCCGCGAGACAGCTCACATCTGACCTCTGCTGCAATAATGCCACATCAAGTAGGCCAACTACCCAGTTTAGCGGCAGTGCAGGGAGCGCGGAGCGGCTCGAAGATTAAGTGTGCTGTTTCAGGTTCCTCCTCCCTGGGGCTCTGCCGGCTGATGTCGTATCGATTGTAAAAGTTTACCAGTAAGTATCACAAACAACAATAGCCAGGTCAACGATCGGTGATGCAGTATTCGCGATTCCCCCGGTGAGGCTGGGGGGGAGTGGCGGGTTGGAGGGGGTGGGGCGGCACATTTGGGGCCAAAGCCAACTCTGAGAGGCGAGAGGGGAAAGAGCGGCCCCGACCGCTGACATTTAAGAGGCACGTCAGGGCTGCGATGAGCAGGCGTGAGATAATTACAAGCCTTTGCATTATAAAAGGCTGGATCGACAATCTGTCTGGCTGGCCCACCGGAAAGCTCCGGGCCTTGTTAGGCACTCTTAAGTACTCATTTTCCCTCTTAATAGCCAGGTAAATTTACACAGCAAACGCGCCACGAAGCTCGAATCACACCCCAGGAATGCTCTGGGGTGCCGCCGCCCAGCTCCTGAAATAAACCTGCATCTTAAAATAAAAAAGAAAAATTGTATGGCAAAAAAATAATAAAATAAATATACCCCATTTTCAGCCCGCTGCCCGGAGTATCTGACAAACCTGGACGCAGGAAAATGCCCGGCTCCCGGTCTCCGGTTACCAGGGGAGCGCTCAGGCCCGCCAGCGTGGCTCTGCGGAGCTAATCATGTGATTTGATGCAATAACAATGCGCCAGTGCGGGCCGGCGATGCATTCCCGAGGCCTCCTGCTGGCGCCTTCTCGCAGGGAATGCGAGGGCGCCGAGTATGACAGAGTGTCAGCGGCATGGAGGCGCGTGTCTCCCTGGCAATTACCCAGCAGCCCTGCAAGCCAAATGAGGATTAACTGTGGTGCCGAGCTGTGCCTTTAATGTCCAGATTTACTATATTTGACTTAATGAGGGACATTAACAGCAATAAAAAGTCACTGAGAAGCACAAAGGGTACTTTAAAGACTCTATACTGTCTGTCATCAGCGCGGGGGGACATTGGGTCAGCGCATACAGGAAGAGGCCCCCAAGCGGCCCCCGGAAGGCAATGCTGCAAGGAGGTTCCACTTCCTTCCGGAATAAAACCGGAATTATTGTATTCACCGTAATCTGTTTTCACAGTCCTGGCATATATTTTCAAACTGGCCCTACCTTTTCAGGGGCCCTAGGCAAATTTTTACTTGGGGGGCCCCTGTAGCAAAAAAATTGATGATCATTTCAGTTCTTTGAGAATTTCAGGGGCCCTGTGCTGTGGACGGACCTCACTAGAGCTGCCGTTGTTTCAAATGCTCCTTGTCCTCAGATGATGCGGTGGCAGTATATTTTAGTGGGCGAATTGTTTTTGTGACCTGGTGCATGCATACGCACCGGCACAACGTCCCGAATCCTCGTTGGCCCAGCCTGGCCTCCGGGTTTAGCTGGGATTTAATGTTGGCGGTAATACGGCCTCATTAGCCACGCGGCGCCCGGCCACGCCGGTGGCGGCCAGTGAGCAGCCTCAGGTGCTGCTGGAATTAATTACAAGCACAAGCGGCGCCATTTAGAACTGTCACAGCAAATTTATCACCGGCCACCTAACGCGGCTCGCCTGACCCCACCCCTCCAGAGAGTCACATGGGGCTGCCTGTCGTACCCCGGCCGGGGCGGTGAGTGTGTGTGTGTGAATGGGGGGGGGGGGGGGGCTAGGGTGCCCCGCGAGAGCACAAGCAACCCACAGCTGCTGGTGGCCGGCCTAAATTCTGGGAGCCCGAGGCAAAGACCACTAACAATGCCCCGAGCATCTTGGCTGCCTGCTCCCCTGTGGACACCAAGCCTTCCGGGAGGGGTTCAAAGGCAGCCCTGACACCGTTAATTGCGCCCTTTTAAGGATCATAATCTCTCATGCTCTTGGACATGTCCTCTTTTTTTGGGGGGCAGGTCACAGCTCGCTGGGTTTGGTCAGGGCAGCCCGCGCTATTCCAGACTGCGGTCATTCGGGACCGACATCATCCCCAAAAAAGCAACGATGTGAAGAAGATCCGACCGACTGGACTGTCAACACTGGACATCAAAAACTGTCATTTACAGAAATAATCCTGAATTAGCAGGATGAGTGATAAAGGATATTTGCTATTACATGGTATCATGGAATGAGACGAAAGAGCCGAAACAGTCCCTTACTCTAACAGCAATTGTTTTACACGGCCTGAAGCACAGGGCCCCGCTGAACTGAAGTAAAACCATCCCCTGTTATTCTATTGTTTTCCTTAAGTCACAGGACAAAAGGTCTTCCCAGAAGTGTGCTTAGATTTAAGCCACCATTATCGTTCTGCTTGTACAGCAGAAAACCCAACACAGACGCTCGATAGCGACGCGGACCGGCTAGCTTTTTAGACGCTCGATAGCGACGCGGACCAGCTAGCTTTTTAGACGCTCGATAGCGACGCGGACCAGCTAGCTTTTTAGACGCTGGATAGCGACGCGGACCGGCTAGCTTTTTAGACGCTGGATAGCGACGCGGACCGGCTAGCTTTTTAGACGCTGGATAGCGACGCGGACCGGCTAGCTTTTTCATCATGCAGTTTTACCAGCGATACCATTCTATATTCCACCCTGCTACTTAACCATTTCTCGAATCCTCCGGTTCATTTTTATATCACCGGCGGAATATTCCATCAGGGGAGACCCCAGCAGAGGCTAATATAGGGATACTCCATCATCGTTATGGACCGAACAGAGCAATATTCAACAATTAAGAGCGCCTTAAGTGTGTTTCACATGATGTAATGCTTTCCGAACAGGACAGGCGAGGGTTTTAGTGCTGGCTAACCTGCTGCGTTCCTGGGGGGGCCGCTATTGGGTGGGACTCTTTCTCTGTCCCTGAAAATTGTCATGCAAGCCTGCTTGTAAGTAATAATGTGGCCTTTAATGACGGAATGATGGACCTGCCAAACAGTGCTCCTGCTCTATACTGCCTGCTTGTCCCCATGAGGTGTCCATCTGGGATGCATTAGCATTTCCCTGTCAATCCGCTGACCGCTTTAACATAATCCATATTTGCTGGAGGATGTCCAGCGGCGAGCCGCCGGGCGCGGTGGTCACGTGATGCGGCGATGCGCCTCCATAGGCCAGGCCCGGCGGCTCGCGGGTATGGGCTGAAGGGGCGGGCAGCTCCGGGCTGCAAAACAACCCCCCCCCCCCGGCAAAGGTGTGCTAATGCTTTGATTTTTAAATTAAGGGAAGGAAGAGGAAGGCACAGTAACGATGATTAAAGGCAAATCTGGGGGAATAATTAAAAGCAAGTGTGGGACGAGAGGCAGAGAAACGGTGCAGTTCGTTCAATAGAACTGCAGTAAATGTTCATTAATATACAAATATTCTTCGTTTATGGTCATCAGGCCAGTGTACTGTCTATACACGCATACACACATATCTATGTCTCTATCTATGTCTATGTTTATATCTATGTCAATATCTATATATGCACATAGATTTTGACTCTCAAAATTATGTTTTAATGATCTTTTCGTTGGTGTAAAACAATGATTTTATGTCCCTCAAAGTGTGTCAGCTTAGTCATTTCATAACCTCTCTGAAAATCATCCCAGTGTTTGCCACAACCATCCAATACACCCATGTGTTTTTCAACTCACCCACTAGCACACCATATTTCGGTGGTAAAATTTAACAAATACATGGAACGGCTGAGGTGCCCCTGGGGAGAGGTTTGGGAACTGAAGCGGTGTTCATCTAGCCGTCCAACTAGATATAAGTGACTTTCTGGAGCACAGAAGGAATTCTTGTTACTTTTCATTGTTATTGCATAATTTGCATACATTCTGATGTTAATTAAGTTGTGTTTCTTTTCTGCAAAAATATACACTTACTACTCAGATATACAGCTTTGTCTTTGGCGACCTAAGACTTAGAGTACTGGGATACACCAATCAGATACATACATAAATATAATTATACAGTGCTTCTAATATCTATTTTTTAATCTTCAGAAATAAAAAACAGCAGAACTACAGAACTATATATAACTATATATATATAAATAAATAGCCTGGATATATTGTTTCCCATGTGTGACTTTAGTGTCCTAATTTTACATACATGCACAGTAATCCTGCCATGTGAAACCATGGTAACCAGATGTTACACGTCTGTTTGCAGTCAATATTCTGTCTTTCACTAGTCAGAGACAGTGTGGTGTAGCCCGGCCGGACCCTGCAGGCGAGCCCAGTCTTTATGTCCGTTGTGCCGTAAAATGCCTGCCATTTTGAAGCATATAAGATATATAAGCTAAACAATACTGTAAGCATGAAATAAATGAAATGGATGCAGCAGCTCTTCAATGTATAATGCCGATAAAATATTATCCAGCAGCGTATTTACATATAGCTTCCATGCCCCTGATCTTTTACGAGTGAGCAAGTTATTGGATTCTGTTTATAGACGGTGGCACTGTCGACGAAGACGTTTCCAATAAACATAAGCAGATACTTCAAAGGGCTGAGTAAGTGAGGAGACACATCCCACTCCAGCCCCGTGGTTAGAGCCCATTAAACGTTTTTACCTCCTAATAAAGCACAGCGATAAACGAGGGTGCGCCGCCGATCTAATCAGCGCCACTCGAATCTCCTCTGAATCTAAACGCGAAGAGAGGGGTGTGCGTTTCGGGTTTGCCCTTTTTAATTTTACGCGAGCTAAGTCTGGCGTAATGTTTACTGAATGGAACATCAGAGAGGCAAAATATTTTACAAGCTTTCCATCATGAATAGCATCAGCTTATTGTCTAAAGGCTCACAGGCAATTAATTAGGACAATTTTCCATAGCAGGAGCCATTTCCATGTAAACGAAGGCTAGAGAACGGTCTGTGTCTGGAGCTTCTGTACCTAAGAAAACAACACAGGTGGAAATTTCAGGTCCAGAAAGTAATAATCCAGACCATGATTTACAAACAACCAGTTGATACTCTGTGATTGTGACTCTTACTACTCTTTCTACAAAAACTTGGTCTGGATTTGTACTTCATGGACCTGAACTCTCCACCTCTGGGAAGCAAGTGATCATGTTGATTCTTCTGCCAGTAAGCATACGTGTCCTGTATACACTCTGGTTATGTTCTCCAGGAAAATAAATACACAACCTCAAATCTTTATTGACTTCAAGACTTAAACGATGTCCGATTAAATTCCTTCCTGGATGTGTTATTGAAAATCGCACAGGCTGAAGTATTACAGGGGTTTCCTGCCGCTCTACTCGTATCGAGTGTTTCCTGGGCTTATCATTCTTAAAGCTCCGTAAACGGCTGATCAGACATGAGGTTAGAAGTCAAGTAAACCAATCAACCATGTCGTTGTGGGACATTACGGGGATTTCTTAACGAATGATCGCCCTCACTGATAAGGCTCTTTTTGCAGCTCAGAAGCTACGGTTTACGTTCGGCTTGTCTGGTGTTTATCACCGCGCTCGGTTAAATATGACGCGCGGATAGAGACACGCAGAGGCTTTCTCTCAGCTCGGAGCGGGCAGCGCGTGAGGCAGCCCACCGCCTGTGTCTTATGCGATATCATCCCTCAGAAATGGGACATTTTGAACCCAGCCGTTTGAAAGCCTTCTGTCAGGCGGAGTAGAAATCCCAGGATCGTGACACTGAGCCTGTAGCCGTCACACATCCCAGCGCCGGGTGTT